CGACATTATCCTCTTAAAGGTGAGTCCGCCCCCCCCACCCAAAAAAAGTGGATACAGGCAATAGAGACAAGCCATACTCTGAAAACCTTTTTTTTCTGGTTCGGCAGCTTAGAAAAACTTCATCATAAACATAAACATAATCTGAAAGAGATCAAAATAGATACAAACAAACAAACAGAATGCATATGAGCCTTTTCTTTATTCTGGCTTCCACCTATGTAACATTGCCATTCCAGTCTTTTTGGAAACTGCTAGAAATGCAGGTATATTCTCAAAAGGCACCAAGTGAGATCCAGCCCAGTACCAGTACCGGCTCCATGATGGTGGAAACAAGGAGCCCGTCTCTCTGCCAGCCTCCCTCCCTCCCCTCCGCCCTCTGTCCCTTCTGTGTCCCCAGGTGCCTCTCCCCATTCCCCACACCCCAGTCTCTAAAAGAGCATGTCCCTTTTCCAGGGAGACGTGGAGGAGGATGACACGGTGCCCGACAGCGAACAGGACATCAAGCCCCGCTTCCACAAGTCGCGCACCGTCACGCTGCAGCACGAGGGCGGCGGGGGTGGGGGTGGCGGCGGCGGCGAGGAGGGTGAGGATATTGACGAGGACGATGACGATGACACGCTGTCCGACTGGAACCTCAGTGAGTGTCTCTGAGCGAGCGGGCATTTCAGAAGAGGGGGTGATGATGTGGAGGTCGTCTCGGAGAGGGCAGGCGTGCTCCAGTTTTGCGTTCTCCCGTAAGGCCGCTCCGTTTTCATCTGGGGTCTCAAGGGGACCTGCTTTTTAATCATGGTGTTGCATGTTGTCCGTAAACACAGTTTAACACGGTTCTTAAAAACAAAGTTCATTTGTAACTACAATTGACTTGTTTAATTGGGGTCTGAAGAAGTTTTCTCCTTAAAGGAGGCCCTGAGGAAATAAGATGGCTGTTAATGGTCTTTCTTTTCCCTAGAAATTTTTAATTGATTTAAACCTATAGCCATGTCTTGCCCATCGAACACTACACAGTAGCTTTCATTTGATACTAAATAGTTTGTTTACTAGAGTACTGGTTTACCTAGTAGTAGGCCAATGACTTTTTTTTTGTTTTATTCCCAAAAGTAAGCTTTTATTTATGTCTCGATGCTTCACATAATGAAATGTCTACACCATGTTAAATCATGGGTTGTTCTTTAATAAATCTGAGTGTATCTGACTGTCATTTTGCACTGATCTGGCATTAGGTTGGTACAGCGTGAATTAGCTTCTGATGTAGTTAAGCTACTTTTGCAATATTTGTGTAACTCAGCTTGCTATATTTCTATGGGTGATAGCTTTTGTGTAGTGAAGCTTAATTTATTGTTGAGTAACTGATAGCTTAGCTCACTACATTTTACAAGTAGCTTGCCCAGCATTGCACATTGACACCCAGTCTTACACTCACACCTATGGGCAATAAGGCATGTTCAGTTGTCATTACCTGAAAGTGTTTGGATTGTGGTAGAGAATCACAATACCCAGAGGAAACTCACATGAACACAGAGACACCCTGAAATTGAAACCTCCATATTGTTAGGATTTTTGCACCATTATACTGCCCCCCACTACATGTTTACAAGCTTAATGTCATGGATTAGATCGTGACAATATTGTTACAAGTGACCGCATGTTATGTTTATAAAATGTTGGCCAATTAATATTAAGTTGTAAACATAATTATGATGATTTTGTTGTGGATTATGATTGATGTTGTGGATAACATTTGAGTTACATATAGGTATGTTTTCCCCAGTCCGGTCATTAACGTTTGTTCTCATGGTGTGTCATGTTCCTTGTTGTTTTATAATTAAAATCCTTTGTTCGCCCATTATCACGGCGTCTGTGCTACTTCTCCGATGAAAGTCAGGACAGGATGACCTCATGCAAGGTGGAATACCTGGACCTCACAAATGAGGTAATTTATTGGTTACAACAGTCCAAGGTCCAGGACCCAGATAGCATGCGGATGTGGGCCACTTCGGGCAAATGTGTGGCACTGCTGGCCTGGTTCCGGCACCGGCAAACGGATGTATCGTAAAAGTGGCCCACTTGTGATTAGACAAATGTGGCCCAAATGTCACAAAACAGAGATGGACCACATGTTAA